GGTTTTTGCTATAGAGTGCCTACGCTTGCTGGAGGGACAGAGAGTAACAGAGAGACAGAAAGGGAGAAATCACCCCCCAGAGGGGATGGCCATGCTACAATCCCTTCTCCCCATTCTCCTCTCGGGATTTTGGGCATGCACACACATGTGCCCAGCATGGGTTTTAGGCCACCGGGTTCAGGACTTGAACTGTGGTCGATTATGTGGGAGTCCAGCAATATAACCATTACACCATCTTCTGGTCCCAAGAGAAATTCTCTTCTGAAACTCTGAACCCTGACTAAAACATATAGCTGACTGCTGGCCCCCACAGGACCACTCTGCCAGGGTCACACTAGGGGCTCAGGGCTATCCTATCCTCCTCCCCAAAATGTCACAGAATCTAACCCAAAATTAGGAGGAAGCAAGTACTATACCAGATACCTAAAATATCAATGCAAAGACACAAGAAACAGGAAAAAAAAAAAAACAAAGAAATTATATCTCCCCCAAATAATCATAATAACTCCCTCACCAACAATAGATAAGACACAGAAAATCACAGAAATGTCAGGAGAGGAATTAAAAATATTTATTGTAACAAAACTTAATGAAATGCAAGAGAATACAGATAATTCCATGAGATGAGAAAATTATTCCATGACATAAAAGAGGAACCCTATAAAGACACCCCAAATAAAAAGAATCAAACAGAATTTCTGGAGATGAAGAATATAATATAGGAAGTTAAAATCTCTCTCAAAAGTATCAACAGCAGATGGGACCAGCAGTTAGTGTAATAGCTATGTCACTGGACTCCCACATAGTCGACCGCGGTTTGCATCCCGAACCCGGTGGCTTAAAACTCAGGCTGAGCACGTGTGCATACGTGCCCAAGATCCCAAGAGGAGAAGAGAGGAGAAGGGATTGCAGCGTGGCCATCCCCTCTGGGGGGTGATTTCTCGCTTTCTGTCTCTCTGTCTCTCTCTGTCTGGCGAGCGCACGCCCTATAGCAAAAATCTCTTAAAAAAAAAAAGTATCAACAGCAGATTAGATCATACAGTAGAATATCTGACCTTGAAGACAAAACCTCCAATTTAGTCCAAGCCACCATAAAGAAAAGATAACCATTAAAAATGAGGATAACATACTTTTAGACACCATTACACAGCCAACTACCTGCATAATGGGTATTCCAGAAGGTAAAGAAATGGGTAAAGGCATAGAAAATGTCTTCTTGACATACTATCTGAAAGCTTCAAATCTGGAGTCATAGACATCCAGATCCAGGAAATATAAAGAACATCAAATAGCTTCAACATAACAACCAGGGCATAGCACAGCCATATTGGCAAAGTCAAAGACAAGATTCTACAAATGGCAAGGAAGAATGTTAAGTTACTTACAACAGATATCCTATCAGATCAACCTTAGATTTCTCAACAGAAACAATACTGGCAAGAAAGATATATTTAGAACTCTGAAAGAAAAATTTCAGGCAAGACTACTATACTCAGCAAGACTATGCTACAAATGGGAGAGAAATAAAATCATTCCAATAAAAAAAAACCCTGAAATTATTCACCAATTCACAGCTCTTTAAGAAATATTTACGGGGGTGGGGTGCAGCAGGTAGCATGGTGGCTAAGGCACTGGACTCCCACATGACACACTGCTGTTCAAGTCCAGGATCTGGCAGCTTGAAACTCATGCCAGGCACATGTGTGTGCATGCCTGAATTACCAAGAAGAGAATGGAGGAGAAGGGACTGTGGTATGGCCATTCCCTCTGGGGAGTGATTTCTCTCTCGCTCTCCCTCTCTCTCCCTTCCTTCCTCCCTCCTTCCCTCTCTCTCTTTCTCTCGGTGAGTGCATGTGCCCTATAGCAAAAAAAAAAAAACTCAAAAAAAAAAAAAAAGAAAGAAAGACTTAAAGGAATATTAGGAAAACCAAAAGGAGACAAATAGAAATAGGAGAACACAAAACTAAGAATGTGACTAACGAAATGGCAGGGTAAGTCCATACATGTAGATAATAACATTGAATGTTATGGATTAAATTTCCTCAATTAAAAAACACAGATTGGCTGATCGATTTTTTAAAAATAGGAGTCTTCTATATGCTGTGTACAAGAAATACATCTCAATGGGAAAAACATAAATACGTCAGAAGTCAAAGGCTAGAAAAAGTCATTTCAAACAAACAGAAACAAACAAACAAAAAAAAGGCTGGAGTCATAATACTAATAATATCTGACAAAATACGACTTTCAGATAAAAACTGTAAAAAGAGGGACCAGCAGTTAACGTAATGGCTATGTCACTGGACTCCCACGGAGTCGACCGCGGTTCGAGTCCCGGACCCGGTGGCTTAAACTCACTCCAGGCGCGTGTGTGTGTGCCCAAGATCCCGAGAGGAGAATGGAGGAGAAGGGATTGCGGCGTGGTCATCCCCCCTGGAGGATGATTTCTCGCTTTCTGTCTCTCTTTTTGTCTGTCTGGCGAGCGCACGCGCCCTGTAGCAAAAAAAAAAACAAAAAAAACAAAAAAAAACCAAAGAAAACTGTAAAAAGAGACAAAGAACACTCTGTGCTCCTAAAGGGATTAATTTACCAAGAAGATACAACAATCATAAATATCTATGTATTCTACTCTAAAGAAATAAGAGAAAGCACCCCAAATGGGGCTTGGTCACATCACAATTCTGTCTCCTCCATCTCTCCATCCTGTCAGGATTTGGGGCATATTCACACCAGAGCCCTCTGGCTTGAAAAAAACACACCAGGGCTAGGATTTGAATCATGGTCAACTATGCAGGTTCTGGCTCCCTTAACCAGTAGACTATGGGGCCAGCACAGCTTGTCAATTTTCAATTAATGTTTTAAACCTAAATTAAATTGATTTTACTTTACATTTTATTTTACTTTATATACCAGTTAAAACTTCTGTAGTCCTTTTTTTCTGGTACATGTGAATACACATTTTAAAATGTCATACATGTAACACCTAAAATCATATCATGTTCCAAGAATAGTATAGAGGTCACCCTTTGGGAAATGCTGCCAGATATAAAATTTATTTATCATGATGGCTTAAAACCGTTATTTTCAAATACATAAGAAAATTAATTTTTGCTTCTGTCATGCATTTTTTAGAGAATTATTTTATTTAACTTTACTTATTATTATTATTATTATTATTATTATTTTACACATAACCAGGGAGAGAGAGAGAAGGACAGTGAGAAAGCAAGCTGCCAGGTCCAGGACCTGAACAACACTTGGCTATATGGGAGTCCAGTGCCCCTAACAACCACACCACCTGCTGGTCCCTCTGTCATGCTTTTTAAATTAAATCCCTCTGTGAGTTCCATCAGTTATACAATTCAAAACCATCTGAGTATTTGAATTTCCTATGTTAGTATAATTCAACTGTAGTAAATATAACTTATTTCTGTAAATAAGTTATATTTTACATAGATAAGTTAATAATACAAAGACTTCTAGATTGCTAAAATCAAATGCATGTTTTCTTGATAAAAGAGGAAAAGTTGAATTATTCAATAACACAGATGAAAATATTTTTCACTAATCTATATCCACTCCCTCTTAAAAAGCATGCCTTCAATCCCAAATTGTATAGCTCCTCTGCTAACTTCTTCCCACGTCCTCCTGCTCTGACGCCATCTTTCTCCATCAACACTCAATCTCGTATAAGTAGAGGCAGGGTTATGGCTCTTCAGTTGACTCATCCTGAGCAAGGAAAAGCCCCTATCAAGCACCTAAATTAGCCTCTGGTACCACCACAGAGCACAGAACCACAGAGTCCACTAGTGTTGTCTGCCAGCTGTTTGTCAGGGTTCAGCATCACCCTCAACTGAGACCCGATGAAGCAAATAGCCTCCCAAAAGCCTGAATAGTGTACTGGTTACATCTGCAGAATAGGATCCTTTTACCCTAAATAAATACTCTCAGGGACCAGCAGGTGGCGTGGTGGTTAAGGCGCTTGACACTCCCACATGGCCAAGCATGGTTCCAGTCCCAGACCTGATGACTCACTTTCTCACGTTTTTTCCCTCACTTTCTCTGTATCTCTCTCTGGTCAGATTAAAATAAATGAATGAATGAATAAATAAATAATTAAATAATTGTTTTTTAAAAAGAATACTTTCATACTGATAGTAATTTTTCTAAGTAGAATACTGATTATTTCATTAAATGGTTTTATAAAGGAAAAGTAATTATAAATAATCAGATAATCAAACTTGTAATGTTATTGAATATTTATTTGCATTTCTCCTGGTAATAGCACTCAACATACAAGAAAAACAAACCAAGCTGTGAGATTTTGCTTTAAATGTAGTCATTTTTCAAGAAAAGTTGGTTTCTGCATTTAATGGCAACAAGTGGGAGGTCTTCTATTTTAAAACCACCATTCAAAAAGTAGTATTTTAAGAAATATATACTATAACAACATGATGTGTTTTATAGAATGGATACATATCTGAATGCCAATTGGAAAACGGAAGAAATATATGTGTTAAAAACCATGCTGAAAAACCAATGTTCCTTTTTACAAAAAGTAGCTTGAAATATAAAGAAGTTTCTAGTAAACCAAATGAACTTTCACACATGGAATTTAAAAATATATATATATGTTCCCACCCATTCCAACCCTGAAAAGAAAAAGGAACAACAACCAAAAAAAAAAAAAAAAAAAAACGGGGTTGATCGGAGG